GTAGATTAAAAGGAGAGACAGAAAAAACAAGCAACCACCAAACCCACACTTTGTGTCCAAGCAGAACAGAAAACATTTACAGCGCTCAGGAGAGTTCAAGCCTAATTTGAGGTAGTTTTCATTTGCTTGCTGAATTATGTACTTTGCCAATGTAAGTGGTAGCTCCAGAAGGTATTATGAAACAGGTGACTTAAGCCCATTCACTTGTTTCATTTAGATTTGCCAAATGATATTCAACTTTGAAGACTGAAATGAAAAACTAAATTACATATTGGCTTAAAAATTGCCCTGAAACAGTTGCTTTTAAACGTTTAAGTACATGGACGAATTGCTGTTATAGACAAGTATTGCTTGTAGGCTGTCCTATCAGATCAGATAAACCTGATCCCTGACCCAAAGAGTCCAACAGAACTTTACAGACCTCCAAAAAAAATTCAGAAGCCTGTGTTCGTCGCAGTTATCATTTTCCCCAAAAAGGGTTATCTACAGAATGAAACCATTCACCAGCAATCATATCAAAATTCATCTGAGTATCAAGGTATATGGTTTTTCATCACTACAATAATTCCAGGCAACATCAGCTTGTCTATTTCTACAAGCTTTATCTGCCTTGCTTCTATGTTCTATACACACAAAATACTTGAGTGTAAAATATAAGTCTTATAGCTATGAAGAAACTTGTAGGCACAAATACCTAAAAATATCCTTCTTTAAAACTTGTAAAAAGATGCATATTTTGAAACTTTAGTCATAGGTAAAACTTAAATCCAAACATAAAGGACTTACTGTATAACTTAATTGGGAAACAAGAGATAGGGAATATACCTCTTAAAACATTAGAGTTCTTAAAAATAAGAATGAAGTAAAAAAGCATTATAACTTTAAGTAGTTTTTAGCCTTGAAGCATATTAAGAATGAACACACAATTACTTTAAGTGCTCACCCAGCCAAATAAGCCTTGTCCTAGTTTACATCTCTGAAGGGAAATCCATGATGATTGTTGTGTGATGTCTGGTGCCCAAAGCAGTGTGGAGTTCTGATGATGAATGAGTCTTACTAAAACATATTTATAATTCTTAATTGTTGTTTTCCTTTTCTCCTAACTATAAACAAACCTTCTCTGCAGGTCTTGGAAGTCCAAATGCTTAAAATCCAGGAATATTTTTTCAATAGGAAATTGTATTTTTTTACATATATTATAACTCTAACGGTCTGCAATCTACAATCTGGCAAGCTGTCATTATGTTATGCTGATAACAGGTGAGTTTTTTCTTTTGTTTTTTGTTTTGGTCTAGCAACTGTTTGCAGAACCTTTATGAACACAGTCCTGTAGAATCAAAGATTTGAAAAACCCAAATCCTGGAAAAGTTAATACTACAATACAAAGACTTTGGAACTACAAAAAGTTCACACTATCAAGTGCAACTACCTACATACAACATCTCTAAGCTTTAAAAAAAAAATCATTCAGCTGCCAGGATGTTTATAATTCGTTGACCTTGTTTAGGTGCAAAGCTGACTAATTGTTTTGGTACACCTAAAGATTGTTTTCAATAGCTATAGTAAACTATTTCCAAGACATAGTTTTAAATGTACAGTGGTGCCTTGACTTATGAATGTCCCTACTTACAACCATTTCGTGTTATGACCAGCTCCGGCTGCAAAATTTTGCTTCTACTTGCAACTGGAGCTTCCACTTATGAACAGAAAAAAGGCAGGGGGAAAAGGGGGGGAAATTCAAATTGCTAACTATGTGGCAACAAGGCTGCTTCTTTGTAGCTCTTTCGCCTCAGTAGTAGAGAGTGTGCGACGTTGTCGGAGGCTTGGGACTGCCTCCTTCTGCTTCTGAGTGTGTGTGTGTGTGTGTTTGCAGGGAGGCTTCGGGCTGTTCTGCGTGTTTTTGCAGTGTGGTTTTGAGCTGGGAGTTATGTTTCTGTGCAGTGATGGGTCTTGGGGGTCTTGTTCTTTGGTGTTTCCCCTCATTTCTGATGGGTCTTGGGGGGTTTTGTTGCTTTTTTGGAGTGTTTTTTTTTCATTTCTGATGGGTTTTGGGCTTAAAATACTGCAGCATGACTGTGATCTTGAATGTCCGGTGGCCTCCATTTTTGCTTGAGGCTACCATCTTAACGTCTACTACAAAACAAATTTGAGTGAACCGACAAGAATTCAGTTTTGAACAAATATGTATAGAATTAGACAGAACATAAATTAGCTGAGTTCACATTGTCCTATGAAAATACTGTATTTTTATGTGTATAACACCCCCAAATGTATAACACGACCCCCAATTTTGAACCTTTTTCGGAGGAGCAGCTGCGCTCGGCTGCCCCTTGATTGCCACTGCCGCACAATCACCTCTTCCAGCAGCACTCGTGGGCTCCCTTTGGTCTGCGTGTTTTTGCAGTGTGGTTTTGAGCTGGGAGTTATGTTTCTGTGCAGTGATGGGTCTTGGGGGTCTTGTTTTTTGGTGTTTCCCCTCATTTCTGTTGGGTCTTGGGGGGTTTTGTTGCTTTTTGGAGTGTTTTCTTTCCATTTCTGATGGGTTTTGGGTTTAAAATACTGCAGCTTGACTGTGATCTTGAATGTCCTGTGGCCTCCATTTTTGCTTGAGGCTACCATCTTAACGTCTACTACAAAACAAATTTGAGTGAACCGACAAGAATTCAGTTTTGAACAAATATGTATAGAATTAGACAGAACATAAATTAGCTGAGTTCACATTGTCCTATGAAAATACTGTATTTTTATGTGTATAACACCCCCAAATGTATAACACGACCCCCAATTTTGAACCTTTTTCGGAGGTGGAGGCAAAGGAGCAGCTGCGCTCGGCTGCCCCTTGATTGCCACTGCCGCACAATCACCACTTCCAGCAGCACTCGTGGGCTCCCATTTGGCAGGGGACAAGGTGGTGGCGTGAGCTGGAGGTGAGCTCCATGTGTGGCGCTGGAAGAGGTGATTGGGCAGTGGTGGCAGCAGTCAATGGGCAGCTGTGAGAGGAGTATATAAAAGGGATATGAGGACCTCTTACACTGTACTTAATTATTCAATGCTCTGTTTGGATTCATAGCAATAACAAAAAATTATTACATATAGGAATAAAGTACATGTATATACTTCATTAGCTCGCCCAGTGTATAAGTGCATGTGTGTTTCCATATCATAATAAG